GAAAAATCATGTTCGAGTGCGTTGAAGGACCCTGCGCTGTCGCACCTCGTCCTTGCACCCACGAGCAGAAGCGGGCCGCCTCCGCCGCTGCACGATCCGGCCTGGTCCCGCACCCCTATCGCTGTAGCAGCAAATCGGCACATGTAAATAATCGACTTCCTGCCTCAGACTCAGTGGTCGGCTTCAGCCCCCTGATTGACTTGGAGCAGCAACACCCGTGACCAATTTGCAGACCTGTTTAACAACAGCTACTATACCTCTTGCTCCACCTCTCATCGAGTTCAAACGCACTTACCGCACAGCCTCACTTCACTGACATGGTAAAGCACATCCTTGCATGCATTACGATATTGCCAGCGGGAAGCATCGACAGCGGCGGAAAGCGATCAACATTATTACACTTCTGTATGTATATCTTAGCACCATCGCGGGCGCTTCGCGCGCGCTCAGGTTCTTTGGAATCCCAGTTCGCAGTGAGATGCCAAATGTTGGGTAACGGTTTCGGATCTGACTTTAGTCCGAAGACGCGAAGCAAACGCGTAATAAACAGCCCTTCCCCGCGCACGGAGGTCTCCAGGACGACGAAGACGACGAGGGGGGCGGCTTGGAGGTCGATAAAGGGGAGACGAATACAGGAGCATGACATGGACGAAGACGAGGGCAGAACGATAAGGAGGGGCAGGAGCAGAATAGAGGGCCCCCGGGACACACATATAAATAGACACAAAACACCGGATTCCCCGTATTCTCCTATATTGTCTGGGTGTTCGTCCTCCACCCCACTTCCCATAGTTTCCCATATGCTTCTGCGAGTCGACGATCATGTGTGTCTGTGTGTTTCCTTCGCTCCTGGGAGAGGGAGAACCAGGACCTCTGAAGACGAGGAGCACGAGGAGGACACAGAGGGGACGGGCCACCGCGCGCCTCGTCCACGTGTGCCCCACCTGGCGGCCTTCTGCACACCCTGCCACCGTGCCCGGAACACCTCTTGACTGCCCGCTCGCGTCCCTGCGGGCATCTCCGGGCAGCCCCTTAGAAAAACACACTCGAAGCGGAAGGGAGATCGCAGTGGAACGGAGAGCCCCCACCGGGAGATCGGTGTCGGTTTCGTGTTCGCGTCGTGCGTGCGGGCGCGGCGAAGCTGCGTGGGCGCGCGACCAAAAAATGGCCCCGCCGTCGCTGGGGCGATTAGGATGCGGTGGACCGCCCCTCCGCCCTCGGTTGGCGCGCGGTGGCCCAGGGTGTCCCGCCGTGGTGTCCTGTGGTGTCCCGTTGGTGTCCAGTTGGTGTCCCGTCGGTGTTGCGTCGGCGCGGGCGGGCGATGGCCAGGGGTCTCGCCTTGGTATCGATAGCGAACTCGATAGTGAAATCGATAATCAAATCGCCAGAATAGGACGGATAGCGACATCAAAAGTGAGATCGACAGCGATATTAATTCTAACATGCGCTGCAATAAACAACAAGGACGATAGCGACATTACATCGCAGCGCAACATCCTCACCACGTGTCGTCGCCAACTCGAGGGCGCGTCACGAGCATCGCCATCATCACACCTATCGCATTTGCCCGCAGTTGGTTTTTTGCCCCCCCTAACCTCCCTATCACCCGAAGGGTGGTCGCATAGGTTTTGAAGCCTCTTGGGGCACCCTTCGGGGCCTCTTCTGGCCCTTTGGGGTCCTCTCGGGGGGGTCCTGGGGAGCCTGCTGGCCGTCTTCAGGGTCGTCTTGGGGCGGAGGCCTCGGGCTCCCTTTGGAGCCCCATTGGGCCTGGGCCTCCGCTGCGAGCCCCCTGCGGCTGACCTCCGGCTGCCGGCTCAGGGGCCGCTCTCGACGGGCCGCGCCCGAGCCCTGCGACGACGGCGTCGACGACACTGCCAGCGCGCGCGCCCACTTGGACAAGGGTGGCGGCGGCGCCACGGGCGCGGCCTCAGCGTGGTCAGCCCGACCGGCCAGGCATGGTCGCCCGCCGCCGGCAGAGCCCGGCGCCGATGCGTCGCTCTGGCGATGTCCATGCTCTCGAGCCGTGGCAGTAACGGAGGGAACAGCCACTGCCTGCGTGCCGACTGGATGCGACCACGGAGCTGGCTCGGCTGGTTGATGATGCTGATGATGCAGCTCATGGAGAGCATATTTGACTGTCGTGGCGTATACTGTCGGCTAATCATGTGATCCACGGGGACCTTGTTTGGCCGCGGTGTCACGTGCATTCCGCGCTCTGGTTGATGTTGATGTGCTCTACGTGGTGCCACTTGCACGCGAACGTGGCTGATATCGTGCTTGCCGACGGACAACGCTGACCTCCTGGGGCTCTAGGGGGGCCTCAATGCCAGACTGCAAGACATGAGACAGGATGCACCAGGCCAGCGAATATTCCTGAGGCCTCGCCAGCGCCGATGTGCCCACTCGGGGCCCTACGGAAAACTCAGACTGATGTTGCGAGCGAGCAGGCATGCGTTGATCCGCCTGACCTCGGCGAGCATATAATAATCTTGCGACTGAGATCTGCAGGTCGACGGGGCGCCCCCAGGCATTCGCAGTAGCGCGCGCGCCCGACGTCGCCCCCCCCCCACCGCGCCTGGGCGAGGCAACTCACAGCAGCAAGGACAGCACGGGCTTCCAAAATGGCGACGCCCTCTGCCCTGTCCCAGGCCCAGCTCCGGCAGAGGCTCAAGCGCGACTGGTCTGGCCATATCGCGGGAACCTCCTCGAAATTCTCGACCTGCACCAGGGCCCCCTCGGGCGCGGCCCCGGGCGCCGCCGGGCGCCGCGGGCCCGCGCCCTCGTCGTCGTCGTCGAAGCCGGCGCGCCGCATAGCCCGCTGGCGAGGCGCCAGCTCCAGGTTGCGGCGGAAGCGGGTTCGCTCTGCCACGCGCCCGACTTGGGCCACAGCCTGGGCGTCGATCTGGATAGAGGTGACCCCGGAGCCGCTCTCGGACGCATCCGAGGCCGCGACAGACATTGGCCTAGGAAGCGCTCCAGGCCCCAGCCCGACATCTCGCATTTCTGCAGCGCGAAGGCCAGGGCCCGCTCCAAGCGAGCACTCCGCTCGCTAGAGGTCGAGGCGCAGAGGAGCACGCTGTCGATGGCGACGCCGAGGGCGGCCCCCTTCGACTCGAAGAGCTCCACTTCGTAGATGACCAGCCGCAGCTGGTTGAATGCCGCGACCGTCTCCTCCAGCGCCCCCTTCACGGCGCCCGCGCCCTGGCCCGGCACGCCTGGGTTGTCAGCGCTCGCGCAACGCCGGAACCTGGTCGCAGCCCTCGCCGAGCCCGAAGGACACGGGCTCGCTGCGGTCGGCGGCCAGACGGGCCTGTCGCAGCAGGTCGCACTGCCTCGCCAAGTCCGCGCTGGCGTTCTGGCAGAAGTAGAACGACCAAGAGCAGCCCATTGGCAGCGCGCGGCAGCACGGGCAGCCCAGCTCGTCGCTGCACGCCACGGGGCCCTCGACTGCCTCGACGCTTCCCAAGCGCAGCTCGCACATCGCGGGGCGGGAACACAAACAGCAGGTTGGGCCAGGGCGGCATCACCACCCTGCGGAAGCAAGTCTCCACGTCGCTCACGCCCAAACAGATGCGGGGCGCGCGCAAGATACCCCAGCTCGACCCCGCAGCAGGCGAGGCTCGTCGTCCACGGCCACCTCGATGCGAGATAGCCCCTCAACTGTGAGCAGGTCCGCCCGCGATAGCAGTAGCAGCCGATGGCTGACCGCGCGCGCATCCGCAACCACCCCCGTCTTCCATCGGCCCGTCTCCCACGCGAGGAGAACCCCGACCAAATCGACAAGCTCCGACGTGGATCGCAGCATGCCAATCGGGTGCAACCTTTTCACGCCAGCCGTCGCCTACTCCTTGCGGACGCGGGGCCCAGGTGAGGCAGCACGGGGTCGCTCCGACGAAGGCGCTCAAAGTCTGGGGCGCTTCTCACCATCCGCCCCCGCGACCCCCCAGGGGGAGCGAAAACAAAATCCGCATCGAGAAAATTTAGTAAACACAAGGCGTCGTGGGTGCTCTCGGGCATGGATGCGAGCCCGAACTGGAAGGGGGCGATGTTCGGCCAGCCCAGCCCCTCACAGGCGCCGCGACCAAGAGTAACTCCAAGGAAGCCGCTTTCGGCGAAGGCGCGCCAGGCACTGACCCCTGGGCTCGCACCAGGCCCTCGACGCACGCAGTCACTTCGCTGTGGACGCTGTCGCCGTCGCCACTGCCAGCTGCAGGCGAGCCAGCCGCCCTTCGCCATCCAGCTCAACGCGTCGGCCTCCCTGCTCACCAGACGGCCGTGCAGGAGGTCAGCATCTGGCGGCCCCGACCCCAGTGCCGCCCCGAGCTGGGAGCGCAACCCCGCGAGCCTCGCACGCACCGTCGCCTCGACCTGCGGCAGCGGCACAAGCTCGGCCCTGCGCGCCTGGCCTCGGCGGGTCGCCACGGCGTCGTACCCGGCCACGTGGTAATCGTCGGCCCCGACCCGAGCCTCACTGCCCAGGTCGGCGTCGCGGCCGCCTTCCATCGTCAGCCATACGTACACTTTTCGGCGTGGCCGGCGGCCCGCGCTGCGGGTAGTTACTCATCCTCCGCCGGCGCACCCGCCGCGGGCGCCGCCGCCCCGCCCAAATCGGCCTCGGCCCCGCCAGCGGCGTCGCCAGGCGATTCCCGGCGGGCCGCGGCTGGAGCGGCCCCGCGGCGCAGCGGGAGGCGCCTCGCCAGGAAGCGGCCCCCGAACATCGTGCCCAGGGGCACCACCTCTCGATTCGGCATCATACAGTCCAGCATCTCCAACGGCGGGTCGCCCGCTGCAGCTACATCTTGCAGAGCCAGCTGGCGGCCATCACGGGTGTACCACTTCAAATCGTCCAGCTCCACGGGCGCCTTGAACTGGAAGGCCGCCTTGTCTAAGGCCGGCAACGGACCGCCTGGGCCAAGATCGAGGGTCCGAGTCACGCCCTCCATCCCTTCGCTGCCGTCCAACACCTCTGCGTACATGTCCAGGTCTAGAGTGGGAAAGAATCACTTGCTGAGTGTCTGCGGCCACAGCGCGATTCGTTCGTGGTAGACGACGTCGGCGTCATAACACAGAAAGAACTGTCTACCTGAAGGAGGCGCCTCAAATGCGCCTCCCCCGCGTCGAGACCAACGAGAGACACCGTCCACGCGGACGCGGCGGAGCACTCGGAAGTTTAGCCGCCGCATGCACGAACCCAGGCCGTGCACCAAGTAGTTCAAAATGCTAATCGCGGCCACTTCCTCCCAGCCTAACGCCACGTCCGGGCACGTCGGGCACGCCAGCGCCTCTGGACACAGAGGAGGCACCCACGCTGGCGGGGCCGGGCACTGCGGGCAACTGCACTCGCAGCCCGGCGGATCGGGACACGGCGGCCCGGGCGCGCAGGCTGAGCGAGACCAGAAGGGCTGTCAGGGGTCCGCTCACTGCAGCAGGCAGACCGCCTGGCTGCATGCCACTCAAGGCCGCAGGTCGGCGAGAAACGTTTTGAGCCAAAAACTCGGCAGCTACAGTCAAGCAATGCCAACCAATTCCCAAACAGTGCAAGCACGATCGAGCCGAGACAGAAAAGGGGCGAGGCGCAACTCTCAAGCCGCGCCCACGCCAAGGGAGAAGGGATCCAAGGAACGGCAATGGCCGACCTCCCACATCATTCGAGCACACGCACCCCCAAAAGAAGCAGAGCGCACGGGCCTTCAAGAGGGCAAAAGGCACAGGCATCCGTATCCGCGGGCAGTGACACAAGCCATCGGCACGGGCAGGGCCACAGGCATGGGCACTGGCAAGAGGCATAGGCACTGGCAGAAGCACACGCTTCTTGCCTGCGGCGAGAGGGGTCCAACAGGCGGTCGGGCCGACGGCGGCATGCGTCCGCAGCTCCTTACTGCGGAAGCAATGGCAGGGCAAGACGGGAGGAGGAAAGGCAGAGGCACACAGATGGGCAGAGGCATACGCCAAAGTGCCTGGCACGGGCGGACGCAGAGGCACAGGCATCAGGTGAGGGAACCTTCATAGCCGAAGTCACACGCATGAGCAGCGGTATGCGCGCATGCATTCGGCCGTGGCGACGGAGGCATAATCCCAAGCGTGGGCTGGGAAAATACAGGCCCGAAATACAGCTGGGTCAGCTGGCACTGACCGGGAGGGAAGCTCAACAAGCACTCAACAGCCCGATGGGCTCCAGATGCCCTGATCCTGTGTTGCCAACTGCCGCTGATCATCGTCACCACTGTCGCGAGACACGCTTCAACCTCACCAGCCTGTCTACAGTAGCTCGCTGCTTGTGCTGTTTCACACCTGCCGTTGCTGATGACATCCTGTTGGGTCCCACCACGAGATCGGTGTACAGTGGCGCGGCTTGCGCGGGCCTCCATGTTCGCTGGTGCGCGGAAGAGCGCCTGGTGGCCCCCGCACTGGGACTGTATACTGGCTCGCCGTACGCGCCGCGGCAGCCTCGTGGATCGCCTGGCCACAACGCTTCCAAAGAACTCCTTCGACCCTGTCTGCGCGTGAACAGAGGGGCACAACCGTGCCCAGATCCTGGGTCTACGCAGGTCGAGTCCACCTTCCCTACTGGGTGTTGAGACTACGGGATTGATGTTGCAAGGGTGTATCGGCCATTCTGGGAAGTGCCCCGAGGGGGTCGCTCGTCAACTGTCGCATAATCCACTGATCTCAGTGCTCTTGGCACTGGTGTCCTTTGATGGACCGACATCGTCATGATCATCAATCCCCAGTGGCCCCTACACATTGACAATGAGTGATACTCGCTCGTCATCATCGCCAATCGTCATCATCCGCATCATCACCAGTATCAGCGTCATCAACATGATCAACAGCATCAAAATTATCAACAATATCATGAGCATCGCCGTCGTCATCATCGTAAGCAACCCTCCTGGATCATCATCCTCGTCGTCTCCATCGCACATCCTCGGTGCCCCTACCTGAGTAATGTAGTCCCGATTCACTCGCCACCCCAGACATGGACAAGGCAAGCTGCAGAAAGCGCAATGCATCTCATCCCACCGTCGTCCATGCCACCCCTGGTCCAGCCTCGAAGGCCCACGTATGCAGACTGTCCGCTGCTTCGTCTCGGACGTGGCAGGCATGCCCGGCCTCTCCGGGACAGACAGGCCGCACGCCGGTACAGAATCGCGATCCAGCATGCCTCATGTGCTCATGAACCTGTCCGTATCCTCCTCACTCCCTCTGTTCCTGCTGTTACTCCTGCTCAGCCTTCTCATGATTGAAGGGGCCCTGGGACACACAAATAAACAGATACAAATAACAGGATTCCCCATATTTTCCTGTATTTTCTGGGGGGTTGTCTTCCCCCCCACTTCCCATATTTTCCTATATTTTCCTGGGGATCGACGATTCATTGTGTCTGTGTGTTTTTTCCCCTCCTGAACGATGCTCAACCTCTGCCTTCCCCTCCTCGACGCGTTCAGCAGTCGTTTGAGCGGCTCCGTGCGCGTCGCTTCCACCCCGGGCTCACTCTTCGGGGGGCTCTGGGGCGACAAGGAGCAGCATCGCTGGCAAGCAGAAGCTGATAGAAAAGAAGGTGGAGATTGAAGCGGGGCTGCGGAAAAGAATGGCATCGAAATCCTGCGTCATGCATCTGCAGGGTCCGAATATGGCCCTGCACTTGGTTTGAACTCTGGAGGCAATCTCCAGCGCTCCAACGGAGGCTTGAGCTGGCAGGCGAGGTTCCACGCCTGCTGGAGATCTGACAATGGGCCAGGAGCCTTGGGACATGTAGGTGGCCGGGCCGAAGACCAATGCACAGCCAGAATTATCGTCTACGGATCGAACACAGCAGGGTGAGGAAACAAGAAAGACGTGCTCCAAGGGAGACGGCTAAGTAGCTGATTCGTGATGGTTGCGCCAGAAGCGCACTCCACTATGTGAAAAGGTGCAGTCCAAACTCTGCGCAATGCGCGCAGGGTCTGCAGGTTGCAGCGACAAGCGTCGTAGTGCTTTACGTGGCCGAAGTGTGCAAGCTTGTTGGCGACCGCGCTGCATGAATTGCAAGAACAACGGACATCGGATCGGGAAATCGAAACGGATCGGTACGTGAGTCGGATCGGGCCGCATCGTCACAGAGTCCAAATCGGATCGGATCAGTCACACTGGGATGCACAACGGCGCCACGTAAACATGAGGCATTGTGAGATCGTCGGAACATCGGAATCGAATCGGATCGGGCTGGCCAGAGTCGCCATGGAATCGAATCGACCGGATCAAAATGGGTTATGACTTCGTGGTGGCCGCGCCTCAGGGCGATGGCCTCAGAGCGCTGGCTGCTACAGCCGAACAGGCCAAGTGTCTGAGCGGGCGCCAGCCATCTGAAGTAGGCCCATGGCGGGTGTTTGCGGAGCGCTTGCACCCCTTCACAGAGACAAAACTGCTACGCATTGAGCACCGTCCATCTCCTCACCCTCTCTCGCAACCGCTGACGCATCATTCGGATGCCCCCGCGCCCGCCACGCGCCCTGGGGCGCGACGGCTACACGGAGACGGTCCCGTTCCAGAAGTGGGAGGAGGAGGAGGAGGAGGACGACGAGGAGGAGGAGGGGGAGGAGGAGGAGGACGAGGAGGAGGAGGAGGAGGAGGAGGAGGAGCAGGAGGAGGAGGAGGAGGAGGTGGAGGAGGAGGAGGGGGGGGCCACCCGCACGCATACTACACCTGAGGCCCCCGAGGAAAGGGAGGAAAAGGCCTGCAGAGCGGCGGGGCCACTCGGTAGGGCAAGGTGCACAGACCGTAGAGAGCGTATGTTGCTGGCAACGTTTGTACGCGGAGTGCCTTGTCAGAGACGCGGTAGGCGCAGCAGCAGCGTCTGCAGTATACGGCTCTACAGGTGGTGGGCCCCCACAACACGTGAGGAATAGGAAAGGTATCTGATTCAACGGCGTTATCTGGTGTCCGTCATGCTGACTGGCGCACAAGATGGTGGGCCCCTACAGCACAAGCGGAATAGGAAAGGTATCTGATTCAACGTCGTTCTCCGGCGTCCGTCATGCTGACTCTGGCGCATGATCTTCTCCGGCTTCAGGCAGGCCTGTCTCGCCTAATTCGTTATGGCGCCACCCAGTTGGGTAGCTCCGCCAGTCGTAGCCGTGGCTCCCGTAGACTAACGTATCGCCCTCTTAATTATGCTTGTGACTTTCCGCGGTTGAAGTAGCCGGGGACGTCGTCCACCGTGCCGTCGGCCCAACGAACCTTCAACGTCTGGACGCTCAATTCCAACACCGTGCACTCGTATGACTCTCTGCCGCACTTGCCCTCCACCGTGTCTCCGATGGCGATCGGCTTTTTGGCAGTCCAGGCACTCCGCGGGCCTTGGCGCTCGTGTCGTGGCCCTTGCAGGACAGCGGCTGGCCATGGCAGCTGAGCTGGCGATCCCCGGCGCTCTGCTGGAAGTTCTCGCAGGTCGACCTGTGGCCCGGGTAGCCTTAGCTCCGCTGGTGGCTCTCGCAACTCGGCGGGGGCCTCCACGGGGGCCTCCACGGGGGCCTCCACGGGGGCCTCCTGGCAGCTCCGTGGAAGGGCACCATGCCCGAGCATCTCGAAGCAGTCACCGTTCTCAAAGCCCGCGGTGCTCGAGATGCACGTGCGCCTCCAAATTTGAAGGGGCCCCAGGACACACAAAAAAATACACACAAATAAAAATATCTCCCATACTTTCCCATATTTTCTTGGTTTGTGTCTTCCCTCCCACTTCCCATATCTTCCCATACTTTCCTGGGAATCGACGATTCATTGTGTCTGTGTGTTGTTCCCCCTCTTGAAAATTCCTCAGAGCACCGACGCTGGCAGGGGCCGCCAACCTCAGCCTTGACTTCCGTTCGCCTGCTTCCTCTCCGGCGCGAGGCAGAGGCCTGGGCGGGTGTTCGTGACCAGGGCCAGGGCCCCTCGGCTCGTGCACGGGCGGCGCACGGCGTTGGGGCGAGCTCCAGGGCTCGTCGTTCGACTGCGGTTCCGCCCATGGCTCGGAGGGCGGTGAAGGCGGGGAAGCCAAAAGGTGCCGATGCCGCTACAGTCGGGGCCCAGAAGAAGGAACCCTTTTGGTTGGGGAGGGGCTCCGCGTTCCTCAAGTGTTTCACAGCTTGCCTCAGGGCTTCCTCTATGTTTTCCATAGGAAATCGAAGTTTAGCTTATGGCAAAAAGGGGCCTCGTTCCTTATTTGGGGTTCCTTAGGTCAACGCCCCGACTGTACTCCCCGGACCTCTCCCAGGGCGCGTTCTGACCAGGATTTCAAGGCGAATCCAGCGACGGGGACGAGGGCCGGCCAGGAGGCCCAAAAAGGGGAAAGCGAGGCGAGGGCAGCGGTATCGGCACCTCTTCCTCCTCCGAGGGGGGCTCCACACTCGCAGGGCCTGACCAGAAGGGCATGCCAGGGGGCGCAAGGGTCTGCAGGGGGCCAGGAGGTGCCCAGCAGGCGCAGGGCGGGGGGGGGCAAGCACAGAGGCGGGCGACCACAGTGGCATGGGAGTGAACGGTCAAAAACGGTCTGCTCACAGGCCACGGGGGCTGGACCCGTGGGTGCGCGGGCGCCCGAGCATGCCGAGCAACGGAGGAGGAGCAGATGCGAGACAGGCATGCGCAAGGTGCGACCCAGCACGACAGCAGAGCCCGGCTCCTTGACCACACATCCGATGGAGACATCAGAAACGGGAAGGGGAATTCAATAGGAGGGGCCCGACCACAAGAAACCTTCCGCAAGGAACACAAGCCTGAGACCCCAGGACGTCCATCGATTCTGGGTACGGGAACGCCACGATCTCCCCTCAAAAACCATCCGGAAATCCAAGAAAACCAGGGCACCCTGGAGGCAAGAGGGGTGTTTCTTGGCATGGGCCTCAACAGCAAGGGGGAGGACGACGACGACGACGACGACGACGACGACGACGACGACGACGGCGACGGCGACGGCGACGGCAACGACGACGGCGACGGCGACGGCGACGACGACGACGACGACGACGACGACGACAACGACGACGACGGCGACGGCGACGACGGCGACGGCGAGTAGCCCCTGCTGGAGCTGCCGCCGATCGGCCCTCTCCCGAGGCTCGCCTGGTGCCGCCCAGGCGCGGCAGGTAGATCTCCGCGCGCCTCGCGGGAGGCGGGCGGAGCCACAGGCGCGGGCAGCCAGAGCTCGGCGGCAACTCACGGGCAGCCTCCCATCCAGGGCAGTTTTCAACACATGGGATGTTTGAAAATATAGGGTCTTTAATTCATGACCAATGTATGAGCAAAGTTGTGCATGAGCTCATCGTTGTTTTTTATACTAAATCCCTGCATTTTGAATACATGGTCCGCACGCGGAGCATGTATTAAAAACGGCACTGTACCATTGACTGCCCACCAAACCACCCCAACCCAACCCGAAGACCCGAACTTCGCCCGAACTTCGGGTCTGAGGGGGGTGGGCTTCATGTGTGGTTTGTCAATGTCCCCCGACCCCCCCACCCACTGGAAACGGAAGGCGAATCGGGGCCCTCGGGTTGGGTTGGGGTGGTTTGGTGGACGGTGAACCATCTCGTCGGCTCTTGCGAAACGACGCTCGTCGACGCTGAATCGACGCTAGTCGACGTCACATCGACGCTAATCGACGCCAACCGACGCTAAATCGGCGCTATCTCATCGACTCCCAGACGATAGTGGACCCTAACCGACGCTAATGACAGAATTACGAGGGTGCACAAGGCTCCCATGGTTTGCTACCGAACCAAAGCATGATCAGCTACTCAGAGCTTCACCGCAAAATGAGGGGACTGCCTCTTGGTGCGTCTGATCTTGAACTGTCCTGGAGGGACGGGGCGGTCTGGGGTGGGGGTCCAAGGGGGGTGGGGCCCCCCATATGGGTGGTCTGGAACGGCTCGTCCGAAAGCGTTCAGAGCCCAGCCTGTTTTAACACATGGAGCAGATCAGCTGACTTCGCGCACCACGATGCGCGAGGAGCGCTCGTCTTCGCGCCCTCGCGCCACCCCTTCGGGGAAGGACAACTCTCTGGCCCAGGCCATCACGCGCGAAGGGCGGCAATATTCGGGCGCCCACGACCTAGAAGGTCGGGTGAGTCCTTGAAGAGTCACTGCTACATCGCATAAGGAGTCCGTGGGAACTCGCCGCGGCACCCTCTGATTCATGCAACCCGATTTCGCTGGGAAGCAGCGTGGAGAGGAAGCCACGACAGTGGAGGAAGAAGGGGGGATGCGGGGGACAAGGAGAGGAGCGAGAGTTGATGCGGAGAGGAGGAAGAGGAGGACGACGACCACGCGCGAAGACGCTCAAGGTGGATGGGGCGACCCCAAACTGGCGGACAGCGCTGTGAGGTCTGGCGACCAGGGAAGAAGATGGGGAGAAGAGAGAAGAGCAGAAGAGCAGGAAAGGGCGAAGGTGAAGAGGGGGAAAGAAAAGGCGACAAGGCATTCCCTGCAGTTCCGCCTCCGCTCAAGCCAAAACCTGCAGCGCTCAAGGCGCAGAGAGCGCTGTGGCCTCCCCCGCTGAATTACACCGTGGCGGCAGAGCACACGAAACAACGCAATCGGACAGCAAAGGTAACATTACACTGCACGGTGCATGCTGGAGACGGCGCGGGAGAACAGAGACGTGTGAGAGACCACACGGCAGACCCTCCTGGGAGAGCATACAGTGCGGGCGCGGCCGCAAGAAATCCTCGCAAGAAACCCAACCCTGAAAACCCGCGCGCGAGGTGCGCGCGGGGGAAAACCGGGAGCACCCTGAACGCAGCAGCTTCTTCAACGGCTGCGGGAAGCCACCGCGCAGCGTGCGGAGCGAAGAAACCCAGGACACCCTGACGAAAAGCACATGGTTTCTTGATGCGCGCCCCCACTGTACAAGAGAGGCCGTCTGGGAGACCACACAAAAAAGACAACACGGGAGACCCCACGGGGGACCGAGAAAGAGGTGATCGGCGGCGAGCGACGGGGGGGAAACGAGAAGGCAAAGGCCCTCTCAGAAGGCGGCGGGACTTCTCGGAGGCTCTCGCGCCTGCTGGAAGGATTAGAAAACTCGTCCGAAGGCCAGGGGACTTCCGAGCCTTCCGAGAGGGCCCGGGCCCTCCTCGCTTCCCCCCCCCTTCGCTCGCCGCCGAGGTTGTCCGGGAGACCACTCCAACGAACCTGCGGGAGACCGTGCGGTAGACCCTACGGGAGACCCTGCGGGAGACCCTACAGCAGACCCTACGGGAGACCCTACGGGCCACGGGCTACCCATTCCGAAGCCAGAACACCTCGCACGTGACGCAAGGACCATACAGTGGACCTCTTGCAGGCACGCTGTTGAGAGAAGCTATAGTTCCTCGTCCTCCTAGTCCTCCTCCTCCTCCTCCTCCTCATCCTCCTTCTCCATCGCCTCCTCCTCCAGAAAATATCCCTCCTCCTCCTCCTCCTCCTCCTCCTCCGCCTCCTCATGTCTCCTCCGCTTATGTCACCCACCCTCACCTGGACATCCCCTTCATCTGCTTACTTCAATCAGCTGTGCTGCTCTCCATAATAGTTCTCCTCCTCCTCCACCTCGTCTTCCTCCTCCTGCTCCTCCTCCTCCTCCTCGGCCTCCTCCTTCTTTTCCTCCTCTTCCTCCGCCTCCTCCTCCTCCGCCTCCACCTCCGCCTCCGCCTCCTCCTCCTCCTCTTTCTCCTCCTCTTCGTATTATTAATATTAGTTTTAGTATTCGCATTCTTATTATGATTAGCATTTGTATTAGTATTATTACTAGTATTCTTATTATTATTACTCTCATTATGATTAGTCTTCGTATTAGTATGATTATTCGTATTCTTCTTATTATTATTAGTAGTATGGTTAGTCTTCTTATTATTCGTATCATTACTCTTATTATTCTTCGGATTCATATAATTATTATTATGTACATCATTATTATTAGTATTATTAATATTATGATGAGTATGATTATGTTTATAATTATTATTATTATTATTACTATTATTAGCATTATGAGTATTATTATTATTTTATTATTACTATAATTATTAGTATTCGTCTTATTATTCCTCCTCCTCCTTCTCCTCCTCCTCCTCCTCCTCCTCCTCCTCCTCCTC